TTCACGGCCTACTTTCTTAGGATCTAGGCGAATTCCGAAGAAAGCCGCCGAAATTCATCAACTTTGTAAATGGTATCTGTGGCCGCGTCTGTTATTTCATTTTACACCAGTTGGTGTACAACCCACTGGAAAGACTTTAACCGAGCCCTGACTCTTGATCAGATAACTTTTGCTTTCCAGATATTTTGACTCTTTGCTACCCACCACCTGGCAGGGCAAAGTAGTGTCCGCGCCCCGCACCTCTAGCCACTCAGCCCCGGGGCGCGCCTTCAGTTATTCGCAGAGATCGCCAGGCTGCGCTTTAGCCGGAGCAATTGCCGAATAACTCCCCCCCCCGCCCTTCGGTTGTAGCCTTAGTGGGGTCGGAGGGGCGACCTATCGGGAGCTGAAGCAGCCAGCAAACGGAGCCACAAGCTTCCCGCTCTCCTTGCTCCTTTCTTGGAGGCCCTTGCCAAATGTTAAGCAACCGGGCCGCGACGAAAGAGAGAAGGACGCCTGCGGAAAGCTGGAAAGAGGCGAGGATTTCTTCCCAGGGCCTCTCGCAGGCCTTGCAGCTGCGCCCCTTCAGTGGGAAGGAAATGAATCCGAACTCACTGGAGCTGGCAGCAAAACAGCCGGCTTGCCTTGGGGATATTAAAATCCTGCTCCTGGCTAATGGCCGTGATAACGCAACTAGGCGTTATTCTTGGAAAGGACGGCTCTCCTTGTCATCAAGTTCCTCCGTTCCAGTATTTATATTAGAAGCGGAATCTCTCCTCTCAGGGCTGTGGAAGTCTTAAAATATAGGCGGGCGGAGGAGGGGGGGGGGGAGAAACCTGCCAACCGGATTTCTGTAATTGTGTGGAACCTCGAGCTCTTCTGCGGCTCTTAAGGTCACCCTAATTTCTCCGGTTCAGAGATAGATCGGCCACACAATTGCAGAGCTCCGTCTTTGTCTTCGGCATTCTGCGGGATAGCAAGGCAACTTTGTTCAGGACCTCCTCTTTTGTTTTGTTTTTTCTCCGCCTTCTGATCTTGTGTACCACAACCCTCCCTTTCTGCTCTCCTCCCCCCCCCCAACACACAGATATGTCTCCCAAGGTACACAACAAACGCTAGGAGTGAGAGCACTAACTTCACCTAATCTAATGAGAGATACACCGTGGGCCATTTCTTTTCCATTGGATTCACGGAAGGCGAGGGGGGAGTGGAGGGGAAACCCCTGTGAGAAACCTCGGGGTTTTAAGTAAGAGCGGATAAAGCCATTAGCGTTTGACAAGAAGCCATGCCAATATTTTAGAATGGCCTAAGCCAACCGATGGTAACATAGGGGCTGTTTTTTTAAAAAAAAAATTGATAAAGTGTTCCAGATGTTTTCTCTCTTGACTGAAGACTGTCAGGATTGAAGGATGTCAAGTATGTAGAGATGAAGTGATTTTAAGGAGGGGTGAGAAAAACAGCTTTATTTGGAAATCCCACTCAGTATCTTTGTAAGTAACCAGCCTACCAGAATCTTGCTTCCTGTAACGTTTGGGTTTTTTTGCCGCAACCTTATTCAGAGACAGTCAAGGATGGGAAAGGAAAAACGTGAAATGTTTTTGGCTTAAGGCAAAAGCGACTATCAAAGGACAGTTATCTTGAATGGCTGGGGGTGTTAGATTGTCTACGTAAACATGTTATGTAAGGACAGTTAGCTGAATCCAAGGCGGGTAACTTTTCAGTTCCTTGGGGCATAAAAGTGTGTGTGTGTGTTTGCATTTGTGTAAAATATCGATTCTGCTGCCTTTCAAAATACCTGGAGTTACAACCAGAACAAAATCGGTCAGAACAGAACTATATCTCTGCTTTAGATGAAATATAATAAAAACAATTCTTCTCAGATTATTATCTGTGAGGACTTCTAACATTTTAAACTCAGAATTTCCAAAGATTCTCAAGAGCCTATTAGAAAAATTTTGCCAGGAAAATATATAGAGGTATTTCCTAATTTGTTTGACCGCTTACCTGAAGGTAAAAATCCCTTGGAAACAAGGTGCAAAAACAAGCTATCAGTTCTAAAATAGCTTTAGATATATTGGAAATCTGTGTTTTCAACTGAATGGCTGGAATTATTTCACAGTAAAGTGAAGCATTGTATGATTTGTTAGAAATATTTTAAACATTGTGTGATAACATGTTCATGGTACCATGGTAACTAAAATTTCCTTCATCTCTACCACTATTATTTTCTGTTACTTGAATTTAATATGCTTTTTATTATTTCATGAATGGATACTATCTTGGGTGGTGTAAGCTTTGGTGACTTCGTTGAGAATGTAGTTGACCAGAAGTACTTTCACTGCAGTTCACTCGAAGTCCTTGTTGTTTGGGGGGGGGGGAATCCCGCTAAATTCAGTGGAAGTAACTCGAGTGAATATCAGGATGGCATTTTAAGAGTCATTCTCACTGACCCTCAGGACATCTGCACAAAGGAGCTGAGTGAACCGTGGGATTATCAGAGAATTATTTTAAAATGTTATTTAAATGTTATTTATCCAGAACAGGGGAGAAAGCGAGGAAGATCACATTTTAAATTACATATATCTTACCATTTGTTTTGAAATGCGAGATGGATAAATAGGGCTCATTATAAGATTTTAATTGGAAATTCACGTACCTGAGTGTAGAGGTGTAGAGAATCAAACGTGTTGAGAAATGCAGATAGCTGAGCTGAATTTAAAAATATAGAGGGGAGGGGATGAATCCCTTCCATCTGAGTAGGCTTACTCTAACGTAATGGTCACCTCCTCGATTTGGGGCTGTGAAGTTAAAGACAGAATTCTGGAAGCATCTTGATAAGGACAGCGGGGGAGAGGGGGAGAGAGATCCTGAATTGAGACAAATCAGGATAAACATTTCTCGGAAAGGTTCCAAGGCTTTAAAAAGACAACGGCATCCCGGCATTTATTATTTTCATCACAGACCCAATAACATTACAGTCATTTTCCGACTCTCTTTTGCCAGGAGGGTATAGTAAGAATAACTTCTGTCTGCAATCTACAGGTTGCTTAATTTCACAACTCCCTGCTCCATTGACACGATTATTGTTATTCCCCTAACTAAATGGGAGCGATTGCCTATAAGAGAGGGGGGGAATAGATCAATACAAATTCCGCCCCCCTCCCATTTCCAACCCACACCAGTACTTCAAGGGATGGATATTGAAACTTCTTAAGTTCCAGTAAACTTCCAGAAACGATCCACAAGATTGGACTTGACTATTGCTGCAGTCACTTGCAAGTAGTGGCTCAGTTTAAAAATAAAGCAAATGATGCCAGGATGGAAAACAGGGTGCCTGGGAAAAAAGGCTGCGAGTATTGTTGTTACGCTTTTTTTTTTTTTTTTAAAGATTCGGCCCTCTGGGCTGCCAACAAGTGTTAGAAATCTAAATAACTGTTTGCCCAGCTCTGCTTCTCAGAATAATTTCTGAATGCAAAAGCCTGCCTTTTCCTCATTGTACCCATTTATGTTGGGAACGGGCCCCCCTCCATATCTGTGTGTGCCATAAATTATCGGTAGTCAGTCTGGGGGTGGAGGGCGGGGGAACGACCTAAGTTTGGAAAGGATCTTCTTCTGATTTAAAGCATTTTCTGAGAATTGCATAAAATCGCCGAGTACAGCCTGAAGATCTAGCACCTTCTTTTGAGGTGCTATCGCTTATCATCCCCGGTCTATTGGGGAATGCCGAATCGGAGCCCGTTGCCCGAAGCCATTTCTAATCGGGGCGGCTCTTGAGCAGAGACAGGGAGCGGAGGCGAGCTTCTAACGTCTGGCGAAGCCTTCCCGAGGCTCTCTCTGTCTCTTTCTCTCCCGTATCTCTTTCCTTGCGGTTTGGCCTGGCCCTGATTTCTTTCCCACTCCAGCCCAACAGCCTCAGACCCAGCGCGGAAGTTTTGGAAGAAGCCGCGCCGCGCCTGGCTCTCTTCTCGGTCCCCCTCCGTCTTTGTGGCAGGAAAGAACCGCGAACTACCCATGAAGTTAGCCTGGAGCCAATCAGGCCCTTCGGCCGGGAAGGAGACTCCGCTCTCGGCTCTCCATTAAACCGTCTGCTGGTTAAGAGGCTGACTGGGGATAGAGGCCTGGCGAGCGGGGAGGGGGGGGGAACCGTGAAGACCTCATCTGCGGGCGCAAAGGAGAACTGCAAAGGCTTGAACCTCGCTCCGAGCAACTCGGGGGGCAGGAAAACGGGGCGACACTAAGCAATGGATCGGGGACCACCAGCGGGGCTCAGGAAAAATATGGGAAAGACCAGAGCCCCCAGCCGGCCACCAGGCAGCCTCGCCTTTGCGCACTCGCGGCCGCTGCCGTGGCACTTTGCTCCTCAACAATTGCTCAAGAGCGCTGAACGGCACCGAGACCCTTTTTGACTTGGGCCGGATACGCGTTCCGGTCACTTTTATTCTGTTAATTAAAACGCAGATGAAAACTATCTGCGGGGAGGAAAACACAAACAGCAGACCGGCCGGCGGAGCCGTGCAGAGCGGAGGAGCAAAGAAAGAGGAGGGAGGGAAAGCGCGAAGGGTCTTTTGGAAATTACCCACCAGCACCGCGCACGCGCAGCTCTCCTTGTATCCTCTTCATCCCTCCCCGCCCTTTTCCTCCCGGCTCCCTCCTAAATCTTTTCAGACTTCAGAGGGAACCTGTCATCGCTGACGTCGCTCAGGCAGCTCCGGCCAATCAGCGGCCGCCCTGATTGTTTAAGCGCCTTGGGTTGGAGCTGAATCTATGAAGCTCTATTCAGTAGCCTCCCAACGTCTTGCTGCTGCCTCTCAAAGCATATGGGATTCCACGTAGGCATTAAAAAACAAGAAAAAAAATCTATTCTTTCCTCCCCCCCCCCCGGAAAAAAAAGGATGGGGAAGGGAGAGCGGGAAAATAAAGAGAGGGGAGAGAAAAAGAAAGGGGGAGCGAGAAGAAGAAGCAAAACCCAAACAAAGCCAAATAGTGGAGACCGAGAGATTGGGAGGGAGGAAGGGAGAGAGGAAAACTTTCGGAAAAGTTTTTTTTTTTTTTCCCCACCGCTGGCTTTCTCCCTCTCTCCCTGCTTTTCAGGCGCTCTCCCTCGCTCCCCCCTCCCCGCTGTCAGGTGACTTTTTAGAACTGTAGAACTAAGTGAGCTTTGGGGGAAGCCAGGAATGGGGTCGGCGGCACTTTCCAAGCGGAACACCGCGCTGAAATTAGTAGGCTTGGCAGGGGATCCTCATCCTCATCCTCCTCACCGCCATCACCATTCCCCTCAGAGCATGACAGGCTTCGCCGGGGATCCCCATTCCATCGTTCCCACGCGCCCTGGGGAGCACACTGGAGAATCCCGCCTCGGTCTGAGTCCATTCCGGTCAGAACACATGGGACACCACCATCACCATCTTCATCACCATCACCACCATCACTCTCCTCCTCCACCACCACCTCATCACCCAGCGGCCCTTAAGCTCTGTGCTGACCCTCAGCCTCAGCCTCGCCATCCCGTGACAGGCCAAGCTGAAGTGGTCCCGCGTCCAACTGGAGCGTTGGGCCCGGCGCAGTCAACAACAGTCCCTTATGCGATCCCTCACCCAAGCCAGGCTCTCACGGCAGGTAGAGATTTATTCCTGCGCGGGGATCTGACTGCCCCCGGCATGCCAGGGTTCTCTTATCCACACTCTGCTGCTCCAAGTTCTCATCACGGAATATTTGTCTCAACAACAGGTAGCTACCCCGGACACCATGCTCCCCACCACCACCACCACCTCCACCATCATCACCACCACCACCACTCAGAAGTCGGGACTCATTCGCTCCTTACTGGACTCCATCACCATGAGCAACCTCCCCATGGACCTCCAGCTGGCCATCTGAACGGACAGATCAGGCTGGGACTACCTGGAGAAATGTACGCCAGGTCTGAGCCTTTCACTCCAGGACCAATCTCCCGGACAGATCCTTTCGCCGCTTCCTCCTTCCACGGCTACAGTAGCATGAACCTGAACGTGAATATAGCGTCCCACCATGGCCCTGGGGCTTTCTTTCGCTACATGAGGCAGCCCATCAAGCAAGAGCTCATCTGCAAGTGGATTGAACTGGATCAGATTCCCAAGAAATTATGCTCGAAAACTTTCAGCACCATGCACGAGCTGGTGACTCACGTCACCGTGGAGCACGTTGGCGGGCCCGAGCAGTCCAACCACATCTGCTTCTGGGAAGAGTGTCTCAGGGAAGGGAAGCCTTTCAAGGCCAAATACAAACTGGTCAACCACATCCGCGTCCACACGGGGGAGAAGCCTTTCCCTTGCCCTTTCCCGGGATGCGGCAAAGTCTTCGCTCGGTCGGAAAATCTCAAAATCCACAAAAGGACGCACACAGGTCAGTATAGGTTGGTCTTGCTCCATTACTGTTGAGTCCAGAGATCTGCTGATGCACGTGCACGTCTTCCTCCTCCTCATCCGCGTCTTCCTCCCCTCCCCTCCCCTCCTTAGCTTCCCTCTAATTATACTTAGAATTAATGAAAGCTACAGTAGTTCAGTAAACCCTGAAGAAGAGTTGGTTTAGATTTTTGCTTTGTTTTTGCAGCATTTGCATGTGTGTCCTTGTATGTGTCTGGAAAGGAAGGAAGGAAGGAAGGAAGGAAGGAAGGAAGGAAGGAAGGAAGGAAGGAAGAAGGAAGGAAGGAAGGAAGGAAGGAAGGAAGGAGGGAAGGAAAATCCACAATTTAGGCATTTTTTTTGTCGTTAGGGAGGAGGGAAAGAGATTCCAGAGCCCTTGGAAGAAAGTAAATACATCCAATCTTGGTGCAAGAACTTGCAAATTAAGAACAAAGGAAGCTGCAAGTTGTCTAGGCAGTTGTGAGTGATGTCCCTGTGCCTTCCTTGTGAGAAAAACACAGCTGCACAGTCCAATCTTTTTGTTTGGGACAAGAAGCCCTGAGGATAGTCCCCCAGTGCACTTTACTTCTTTAATGTTTGTATGTTTGGAAATATGAGGTGGTTCAGTTTTGGAACCTGGGAAGTTGGAAATGATGGCAGGGATGTGCCTGGACTGAGGGTGGTGACGATTCAGTGCTTCTGGGCTGCCCATTTGGTCACTGGACAGCATTCTATGAGAAGTCTACATTAGAAACTTCAGGAGTTTTTCTTCCTCTGGTTAACAGGAAAAGGCGAGATGTCCAAATGAGACAATCTTGCCCTATTTATGTTTGATTCCAGTCTGCCACAAAAGCATTTAGAGAGAGTAAATTGAAACTTAGAAAGTTTTCACACTTCCGGACCCTCCCCCGTGAAGCCTTACACTGTAAATGAGATTGGCAGCCAGTGTCTGTCATTTTGCTGACTTCACCTAACTCATTTTTTTTCTCTTGCTCTGGTTCAGCACAAGATATCAAATAAACCTTTTTGGAAAATTTAATCCTTTTCAGGATATAGTTTTACACACACGGTCTCCCATGTGTTTCCCTTTCTGCTGGGCAACCCCACAGAAATGACTAATCCTACCATACGATTTTCTTACAACTGGACATTGCCAGGTTCTTCCTTCCTTCTGTTCTGCCACTGTAAAGCCTCTTTGCTTTAGCAGTTAAATGGTTTTGCTCTCCTCTTCTTTATTCCCAGCTTATCATTTAAAAATGATATTTTTTGTTAGAAGATTTATATTATTCGGAATATTTAATCCTCAATAATGAATAATAATCAAGGCATCTTCGTGTGGGTAGGTTGGAAACCATTAAAGAAAATACTTTATTCTTCAATTGTGGTGTCTTTTTAAATAAGCAAACTTTTAGTGCCCTTTCACTGCCTTCTCTTTTGAAGTCTCTGAAGCAGAAAATGCTCAATTTCTTGTAAATTTGACCTACATCAGTGCAGTTGAGCCCATGAGAAAGATGCCAAGTTATAGGTTTATTATGATGCAATCTTTTGCCTGAGCTTCCCACATAATTTTCTTTTAAAGAGAATGGTGGTGTAACCAAGGCCTGATTGCAGAATCATACTTTATGCTGACTATCCTAACTTGAAATTCTCAAACCCAAATATGTCTAAAATAGTAATAGACCTTCCAGGAAATTGTTCATGGAGAAAATTCTGGATTTGCAAGGGAAAAAAATGCTTTTGTCCAGTATTAACTATGTTGCATTTCCTAGCACGGTAGAAAAAAGCAGATTTCTGGAGCAGAGGGGAAGAGAGGAAGAGAGAAAGAAAGAGAGAGAGGTGGAATTAATTCCCAATAGAGTGGCACAATGAAAAAACAAACAAAAAGAGAAAGCAAAAATCACTTCCTTACCATTAGAGCTGTCCAGGGACATTTGTAACCAAGGAGGATTTTAGGCCACAGTAAGGAAGGTCTGTTTTAACTTGTAATTTATAGCAGTAAGCCTGGCAAAATAGATCTTCCTCCGCCTTCCCTTCCCCCTCGAGAATTTTGCAAAGACTTTAATCCAGTCCCAGTGTTGGAAGGATTATGCTAAAATCTCCATGCTGTACGTCTTGCACTCAGCAGCCAGGCCTGTGAGAGCTACAAGTGGGGGTTAGAAGATGGCGGTGCAAATTCCATAGAGCTTGCATGCATGCCTCTGTGCCCCCAACTTCAATGCTCTCCTTCTCCCCATCCACCACCAACTTGGAAAAAGGAAGCTCTCAAAGAAAGGCCAGAAACGGATTTTTCTCTCTTGTTTGAATAACACATACTTGTGTACAGAAAACAGTAGTTTATTTTAGTCCAGAGCATGGATGCTGGCAGACGTGTTTGTGGAACCAGTTGTAGCCTGCACTAAGATCCACTTTTTCTCACATCAGCCCTTGTGTTCAAAGCCAGCTTTTAGTTTTGGTTTTGGTCTCAATTCACAAGCTAGAGGAGTGAAGGAAGGTCGAGGAAGGCGAGCCTTACCTGAAGGCAACTCATTCTCCCTCCGTTGGCAGGAGGGTTTACGGCAGAGTCATTCCCCTGGGCCTCTTAACTTCCAGCTTGCTTGCACGGCATTACATGGATCTCCTTGATTTGTTATTTCAGCTGAGCAGGGGAAGGTCAAACTGTTTCTGTACAAGGAACTATAATTAAAATGCTTAAAGAGCCATCAAAATATAAGATCTTTCTTTTAATTTCTCTCCCCTCTTCTCCCTCCCCCTCCCCATTCATCGGCACCAGGCGAATACAAAATTCATGAAAGGGAGAAAACATTTTGTCAAGTTCTTCTTTGCAAAAGCCATTATTTTCTCTTATGGACCAAGAATATTATTACAATTTTTACCACTATTCTAGATAATCAGCAGCCCCAACAGTTTGATGCTGGGAATTTTGTGGTTATTTTCTTTAAACCTTGCAATCATTAGAGCCATTTTGTTTCAAAAGGCAAATGGGTCCTCAGTGATTTTTTTCCATGAACAGTTGTTTTAAATACCAGTTAGCTTTTTATATTGGACATTTAAAAAGGATTTCTCATCTTAAATGATGCTTTACATTGAAGTCAAAATACATCATCTCAACTCTTTCAGAAATTATCTTTAAGACATGCTGTAGATACACACAAACAAACACAATCATGCACATATCACTAATTATACTTTTAGAAAACAGGATCTGGCTTTTCACCCCTTATTTCAATTATATTTTTATTAACATTTTCTGCCCATCTCTACCTGCCCACTGTCAAATGATATATCTATGCCCAATGGAAACTTCAGAGCACGTGACTGCAACATCCTGGACTTTCTATTGCTCACTCAGTTTTTTTGTGCCTAAATCAGTTCTTTTCCAGGGCATTGGTCTTTCCTGCCATCTCTCCTTCCAACAGCACTTTCCCTCCATTCATCCAGTATATGGTATTTAATATTACTATCCTAATACTGATCTGCTGGGCTTCATGAAAGCTTTGCATTGCCCTCAATGCTCTCTACCATCCCCTTCCTTATCTAAGGCATATATTCCCCATGCTATTGTTTATAGCAGGTCTTCATGAAAAACTGAAATCTTGGCCTAGACACCCATACTGTGAAGTTCATCTTGGCTTTCAGAAAAATAAAATAATGCTGTAGTGAGCCCTCTAGATTTTTGGGCATTGTTATCTATTAAAGTGGCAAAGCAATCAGAAATATCTCATTATTTGTCAGATTCTAGAAAATGTTTCACAGCCTTCAGAGGAATTAAGAGAAGCCAATCCTGAAGAAATTATACAGCCTGATTTTGAAGACGGACAACCCTCATTATCCAGGAGCAGCATGCCAACAAGCATACATACTTACACACACACACACAAACACACACACACACATTTGTAGGAGGCACATAAGCTGTTCCAAAAGGTTGGGTTTCCTTCTGGCCTTTTGTCAGTACAGTATTGCATCCCAAACCAAATGTAAATTACACTTTCCAGGGAAAGCCAAATATTATGTTTCCTGTCTGATTGTGAATATATAAGTGCATGGCTGGAAGCATATGGGGTTACTTGGTGGAAATGTGAAAGGTGAAAGAGAGGCATACCACCTGAAGACTGTGTGATCTTTCTTTATGAATTTGGGGTATGACCAGCTATGTACTGTAGCTATTTCTAAAACAATAGAAACCTAGCAGAGGCCATTTGTAAGGGCAACTAATTGTGCATTTGGGAAGGAAGGCTAGAGGATAAGGGGATTCTGGAAGAGATTAGGATCTGCAAACTCGGTGAAAATAGTCAGCCTGGTTGCCTTCAACACACTGTGTTGCCACCATCTTGACTTTTTTGACTATACCCTGCCAGCATGTAACTAGCTGTCCTGAAAGGGGAATTGTCTTGCTTCACAGCAGCCCTTTCTCCGAAAGGAGAACATGCCTACTTCTTACGGGAGGGAGGCACCGATAACCCCGCAATTCCACCATTAGAGGGTCCGGGTGGTTTTACAGATCTCCTTGAAACCCGGCAGGCACGAATTTGCACCGGAACATCCGGCGCCTTTTGCAGAAGGGAAAAGTGTTCCCCGAAGCTCAATGGTTGAAAAGGACTTGAAGGAAGTGGGGTTACCGCAGTAAATAGTCTCTTTCTACCCCCCCCCCCAAAAAAAAAGATTATGCCTCCCCTCTTTTCCGGACGACCCCTTCCCTCCCGGGCCGTTCTGCCAAGTCTCCTAAGACTGCCTCTTTCTTTGCAGGCGAGAAACCCTTCAAATGCGAGTTCGAAGGCTGCGAGAGACGCTTCGCCAACAGCAGCGACCGGAAGAAGCATTCCCACGTGCACACCAGCGACAAACCCTACAACTGTAAAGTGCGGGGCTGCGACAAGTCGTACACCCATCCCAGCTCGTTGAGGAAGCACATGAAGGTCCACTGCAAATCCCCACCTCCCAGCTCCGGCTATGAGTCGTCCACCCCCTCTCTGGTCTCCCCCTCGTCCGACTGCGGCCGGGACCCCCCTCAGCCGCCGCCGCCCCCGCCGCCCCCGCCAGCCCCAGCGGCCTCCTCCACGCAGGGGGCAGCGAACCTGAGCGAATGGTACGTGTGTCAGAGCTCCGGGGCCAGCGGCATCCCGACGCCACCCAGTAACTCTCCTTCGCCCCACGCAGGAGAGGCCGCCTTCACAAACTGCGACCCCGGCCCCAATTATTAACGCCGCCTTGCCGTAGGACTGCCCGCCGCCAACCAGACCGCCGCCTTCTTTCCGACCTCTTTCGGGACTTGGACCAGGGTCTTGGAGAAGGGGGGGGGAAACCGATCCGAGACTGGGGACCCCCCACCCTCACCCCTCGGTCTCCCCGTTCCTTCTTTCCCCTTCTCCCAGGCACCTTTGGTCAGAATTGCTGCACTGGCCACCGGAGAGAAGACGCACTGTGGGGGGAAAAATAATGGGGGGGGCGGGAAAGACCTCCTCTCTGCTTTTGTATTTATTATGGTGCCAAGCTCACAAGACGGCAGCTTCCCCCCTCCCCCTGACGTCTTTTCCCACGACTTCATGGTTTTTGTTTGTTTGTTTGTTTGTTTGAATTATGAGTATTTTATTTTTTCACCCCATTCCGAAACCTGCTTGGATCGCTTTCATCCCAACGTTTACAGAAAAGTCAGAGTTGACGCAGCTTTTTTGTATCAATGAACCAAAGTGTTTTCTTACGGATTTCTAGCTGTACAGTCGCGATCTTCGGTGCTGGTACCCTCGTGACAGTGTTTTTCTTGGATTCTTTTGTTCCCCAGTGGTCTTTATTTTTATTTTTTCATTTTGACCGCGTATGTGTGTGTGTGCGCGCGCGCGCGTGCGTGCGTGTGGCGTGCGTCTGCTTTCTGGGAAAAGGGTTATCTATAAATGTTATTGGTTAGCCAACTGTACACCGATTAATTAAATACTTTGATTAATTTACCAGCTCAGTTGACATTTTTTGGGGAGGAAAACCCCTCTTTACTGCCCTGACTTAACCAGTCTACCCTGCCCACTTGTTACTAATAAAACAGACCCAAGGGTGGCTTAATGATTTGTGGTACATTTTAATTTACACAAGTAATGGATTTTAAATGCACAAACACATTCTCCTTTGTTCCCCCACTCCTGCTCCCAGCGTTATTTCTGTGAATTCTTGCAATTCCTTAGTGAGTGGAAAGTGAGATCCATATTAAAACAAGAGGGAGTTGTTATGAGTGACGTCATTGTGCTGATTCTTGGATTGTCCAGAAATTCAACATGTAGATTTCCCCCCCCCCCAAACGATGGAGTGGCAATTTTGTTTTGAAATGCACAAAGGTTATGTAAAATTATGCTGGGTTTTTTTTGTAATGATAAAAATAAATGTTTTTTTCCCGAATCTCTAGCATATGAAGACTACTTCTGAGTCCTCCTTATTTTTTGCCCCTTTTTCTTATTTTCCAGCTGAGAGGGGCAAGATGGAAAAACAGAATGCATTCCAGTTTGAGTATAGGGACAAAGCATCCGGGGAAGGTTCAGTTACTTACACCAGGCCCTAAGGCTATCAGGTCATCCTAAGAGCCCTCTATCATTTGCACATGATGTATTGTACTTCCAGTAGGGTTTCTGGGCTGTCCAGTTGATTCTGATCAATGCTATGAAAGCAGGGCTCATTTTTCTGAAGGTTCACACACTAGGATTTTGCTGCAATAGTTTCCATATGGACTATTCCCTCCATTATGTAGTAAAGATATAAATTATGCAACCTTCCTCTGAATGATTCCTATTAAAAGCATCTGTGTTTTTCTACCTAGTGTCAGCAAAAACATTTTTTCTGAACTTTTCATTTTGGGGTGCAGCCCAACAAGTCCTCTCGAATTCAGTGGGAAATCCTACAAGAGTGTGAACATGTAGGGCTTATATCCAAAACCCAGACTGGTGTAATTTACATTTTTGCATTCCTACACTTTCTCAGTTATTCTGTTTTCAATTGTGGCCTGGGAATCCAGGAATATATGATTCCACAATAAATCCACAATATTATGTTGCCTGATTAAAAGCAATGGAAGAAGCAATCCAATAACTATATTATCCTGTTTATCAGTGTTTAAAACTAAAAAGGATATATTCAGTATTTCCCACAGTTGTTTTTCTTCCTATTGTTGTTCAATTCCTCCGAGCTGTTAGTGGAGGCAACCCAGGAAAACAAAGCTATGGAGACCTTTGGCAAATGGAGAAGATAAGCTCTACCTTGCCTGGAATTCTCAACTGAGCCTTTCGGGCTTCCCAACGCCACCTCCAGCCCGCATCTTTTCTTCCTTATTTCTTTCTTTACAGAAGCTGTGGTTTTGGATGTGTGGGCTAATCACCTTTAATTTTTCATTTGCTTGTTACAGATGTCTATCTCGTTGCTCTCAAGGTAATCTAGACAGAGGCAGCTGAAAAGCTCTGCATCTTATGCCTTAGACATCAAAGCAGGCTCTCACAATGAAAGTATTTCTTCACAACGGTGAATCTTCATGGTGAGTTAAGATTTCTATAGCAGTAGGCAAGTCATACTTTAAAAGACTGAAAAGAGAAGTCTGGAGCCCATCTAGCCTTTTCACAAGAAGGACATAATATTTAGGTCTAAGAGATTCTTCCTGCCATCACTCACCCCAGTCTCTGATTTTCTAACAACCCTCCCCAGCTGGCCCAACTTGGTCTTTATTGATTTTGTTTGAGCTTCCAGTCCAGTGCATATGTGTGTGTGTATATGTATCAGAGAATGAGAGTCTATACATCTATTTTTACCTCTACCTTTTTCTCAATCCTTTGTGTGTTTGTGATGGACATGGAATTTCCTCTCCTGTCCGACCTTCCGGGGCAAGGAAAACCCCACGCGAATGGGAGGCCTCGTTCCAACCCCATATTCAGAATGGATAAGAATGTCAGAAAGAAAAATGGGCCTGCTTGAATCACAGCCCGTCACTTCACTTTTGTTCCCCTTCTTCTGGGCCCTCATCAGAGGCGGCCTTTGGGATTGGATGGCAACTTTTCTAAAGGCGAGGAAATGGGTTTGAAGGAGAGGGAAGAAAAGGAGAAAGGTCTAATCAAGACCGGTCTTGTTCAAAGGCTCTGATTTGAGGTGGGGTGTGTGTATGTGTGTGTGTGTGTGTGTGTGTGTGTGTGTGTAGTGATGATGGGGGCTGCGGGGGTGGAAAGTGTGAGCTTTATGGTGCATCAACATGCCACGTTAGGATCGCTATGGTAATGAGCAGTGCAAAAGCAGGCACCCTTGAAAGGAAGGCACACTCCATTCGAGACAGTCTATTAAGACACATTTGTGCTGACCTCTGGTTTTCATGCTAGCTTAATGCATTCAATCACCTCTTCCTCCATCTCGTCCCCTTCAGCTTGCCAGCTTGCCCTCTCGAAGGAAAGCCTTTGTGGCAGAATCTTGGACTGCTGTGATTAAGAGAAATGGGGAGGGGGAGGAGAGAGCTATCGAAGAGTTACCAATATTAGATGGATCCTTTGCAGCCACAGAACTCGGTGGCATTATCTCCAAGGCAAGGCCTTTTAAAATCGGGGACACAACTCTCTGAAAACAGGTTTAAGGCAAGCCCCCCCAGGCTCAAAAAAGAAGACGGTTGCCAGCAAGTCTGGGGCAGTTTCAGTAGGGAGCAGGAATTTTGTTCTTTAGTGAGCTCACATATTTCTGCTCCTTTATCCCCCTTTTGAAAACCTTTTCCAAGTATCTTCCCACCAGTCCTGTTAATGTTTATTGTTTTGTCCCTGGAAGTAGGAGACTTGATCGCTATGTTTGGGCAATGATATTGGAATATTGTCATTTTCCCATATTTAGGTACTCTATCTCTTAAATTGTTTGGGGATTCGGTTCTGTTTAGTAGTGAGAATCTTAGAAAAGATGATTCATCCCTAAATGCATATACTGATATAGCTATATAAATTCCATATATCACTGGGTATCAGTATATAGCTCTACTATGTTGAAGTAAAAGTTAAAACAGAAAGAGATGCCTCTTTGTTTTACCAACAAAGACTATGTGATCTTTAGAATGCCTGGCATTTTTTTCGTGGAAAGAAGCAAGTAAACAAGTAATAAATCACAGAGGTGGGTTTAAAAGGGGGGGGGTCCTGTTTTGCCAGGCTCCAGAACTTGACGTTGCCAAGTCTGAAGCCATGGCAATGGGTATATGATCCCAAGAAAGTTAGAAGTCCATGTTCCGGTAATTGTCTCAGTGTTTATTTTATCCAAGTACTCCAGTGAATAGGGGAAAAATAAACACGCTGGGAGGAGGGATACAAACAGTTGAGTCGTCTTTAGTGCTAGCCCTTGTGGCTGAATAAAAAAGGATGGTCCAATTGCTATTGAGCTGAGAAATCTTTGAAGTGGGAAGTTATTATCTGAGGAATTCCTTTTCGTTGTCCTAACAACGCTTATGAAACGTAAAAAGGTCCTTTGTCAGCGATTTGTTCTCCCCTCTGTCAATGTCCCTCTGCCCCGTTAGCTGGGACCGTTTCTAAAGAGATGAATCCAACCTTCTTTTAAAGATAACTTTGAGATGGAGACAGCAGACGTCCTCACACACAATCACATACCCATGTCCAGCTAGTTCTGTCTGCCACTCTGTAGGTGGAAGGATCATGTGGCTCAAGGGTGTGGAAGATGGAAGGAGGGGATAAAGAGGGAGGGGGACAAATACTCCTCATTCCCCCCCATCTCTCTCATACACACACACAACACACACACACACACACTGAAGGACACATTCTTTTCCATTTCCATTTTAGAACTATTTATTTATATGAATGATATCCAGGCCCCTGTTCTCTGCACAGTATTTAAATTTTAGTAAACAACACCAGTCTTTATTATTAGATCTATGACCTTCTACTGTTCCATCGGTCTAGTGTAATAGCTCATACGCTTTTTTTTTACACAGGCTGCCTCTCGGATTATGCTGTAAATTCTGGCCAGAAGAACGTTTTTTTTAAACAACACCTCACGAACAATAGCCATGCCTTCAAAGCAAAGGCTTTCATAATTTACAATATTTTATAGTTAAGCAATAGAGAAAATTTTCATCTGGACTCCACTTGGCACCTACTCTACAGCTGAGAAAAGCAGCAAGTGACAGGTTACATTATTGACAATTGATACTCACCTGCAAGCCAAAATTCAACAAATTCACACACTGCACATTTGGTAATTT